GATGTGAGTACAATCAACAAACCAGTTGTGGCTTTATTTCTAGAACTGGAACACAGTCCTGTGCCCATTTGTCATTGCTGAGTGAAACTGCTTCCTCATCTATTTGAAGGATATAATCTTATCAATCTATACTAAGCCTTACCGTCTCTGCATAACATGAGTTGTCATTTGAGTGTTCTGCTTCTCAGGACACCAGGTGCCATAGCATATGGCACAGGAGCAACAAGACTCATGGACCCAGAACCATAGCTAGAAATTTTGGCATCTGGGGCAAATAACACCATGTCATACCCACTTGGTTCTGAGATATTGGTGCCTGAGAAACCAAAGAAACAAAATATGGTACCTCCTTAAAATGAAAAGCTTCTGCTTTAAAAAAAAAGGGGGGGGAACATGAATTGGTCTGAGAGACATTGCCCTTTGTTTTCCTGATACTCACCAGCGGATGCACCTCTAGATTTTGGTACCTTGGGGTAAAGCCCCATTGCCCCATCCTAGGTGCGGCCCTGGGTGAAACAGGGTCCAAACAACCCCCTTAGTTGCATGTCTGTCTATAAATTTGTACTTATACATGGGCATATTATCACCCCTGAAAAGAAGGTTATAAACATGCTTTCTGCCTGTTAAGCACAGATTTTATAGTTGTAATTTTGCTTCCAGTTTTATTACACAGCAATTCTAGCTTCTCTGTTCATTCAGTTCCAGCGTTGGTCTTTGCTATAGAGCTGCCTCTGGGAATTGATTTTAACATTTCCACTGGAAAACAATATAAGTACGAAATGGTTTGTAGTAGTTTGGAAGTTATGTTTCTGTCTGTTGCTCCCTCACACCTCTTGATGTGTAAAAGAAAAAGACAGGAGTTGAGTTTATAATGAGTAGGATGCTGTTCAACTGGCCTCTGAATGGCCCAGTAAGCTTCTCTGTTACAGCACAACCTTAGCTGTCCTTAGCAGACGGCTGAGGGAACAACTGAACTGGCTCTAAGCCAGCTAAAGCTTTGATGAATCCAAACTCCTCTCAAGGAAGGGGGTTGGAAATTACCTAGAACTGCCCTCTGTGAGGAAATTGGATGGGTTATGTCATACTTCACTGGGCTGCTATGGGTGGCCCTTATCTGCGTGAGAAAGAAGACTTGTTTTGCTCTGTTCCAGACTGCACCAAGGCCGTACCACAATGAGCCAGAGATATCCCATCCCATTACTAATTCCTTGTTAGCAAACGTTCTCATGAGAACTGAAAGGAGAAGTTGAGAGATAAGTTACATTTTGAAGGTGAGGTTACTGGACAAAGGACTTGAACCTGACTGGATAACATCATGTTGGGAGAACAAGAATTTAAGATCCAGCAAGATCCTAGGTTGAGGGCTGCTTTTTGTCAAGCTAGCTATCCTTTCATCGGTCAGCTGCAGATGATGGATTAGGCATAAAGACGCAGTAGCAGAGACTCAGGTCCTTTCATCGGTCAGCTGCAGATGATGGAATTGGGCATAAAGACGCAGGAGCAGAGACTCAGGCATGATTACTTACGTAGCTGGAAAATAGTTTTAGGCAGAAGTAGTTAGCTTTTATTATTTTATGGGGAATGTTTCATAGAGCTCACTTAATTATCTGAATATGCATTACTTGTTTTGGATTTATCTGAATATGCATTACTTATTGCTTTTGTATTGTTTTGGAATCGTACAGTGACTTTTTTGAATTCTTTATACTTTTTCATAACTTTAATAAATCTTTTTATGTTTTTACCCAAGTGTGATCCTTGCGGGGGGAAAGGGTTTGAGTGTCTAAAGAAGGTGCTTTGGCCAACAGGCTATGTTTACTAAGTTTATTATTTTGGGCAGTCTGCTTTGTCTGTCTGGTCGGTGTGCTACGTACAAAGTGGACAATCAGGACAGAAGTGTGTCTCAGGTAAAGAGACAGGTGAATACCTAGGTTAGAAGCTTGCTTGTAGTGCTAATTCACGCACCCTCTGGGGCTCACCCAGATTGGGTTTAAAAGGGTGGTGAATATAGTACTACAGAGGCTCTTTTGCCTAGTGAAAAGCCCTAGGAGGGTTCCCTCTTGTGGGCATATCTATGGTATGTGTTGGAGGAGGTTTGGATCTGGTGTAACGTGCACAACCCCAGGGTTTTTTTGTTTTGTTGTTGCTTTGTTGTTGTTGTTGTTGTTGTTGTTTTAGCTATTCTGCCAGCATATCTTAGCTAGTGGAGCAGTTCTGGGGGCAGATGGCTTTTTCAGAACATCTCTGCATTAAGCCAACAGAAATTCATTCATTTCTACCAGTAGAAGGGGCTTGTTACTATTCTTGACTCCATATAAGTGGTGCATATTTGCACTGGGATTGCCTTGTTACTCATCTGAGGCTGATGGTGGTCTGATCCAGTGTGCATTGTTGCCTGCAAACTTTGTAGAGCCAGGTCCCTTTCCTGAATTACTTTACTAGACTGGGAGGTAAGCTGGTGCAATTCCTGTGGGGAATTCAGAATGCCTAGCAATAAAGCTGAAACAAGAAGAGTTTAAGATCTTGTCTCAAAAAGTAAGTAGTTTTTCTAGCTCCAAGGTTCAAAAAATAGTTACTGTTTTAGGTATAATTTAAAAATGTCACTTTCACATTTCTCAAGAGTAACTGAAATGATTACTTTTTTATATTAAAAAATGCAGCACACAACACCTGTGGTGCACAACACAACCTCCTCTTGTTGGTGTTACCATCATCTCAACATCATAAAAGGGCAGAAGATGGCCACTGAGCCAGCAGTTAATGATTCAGTATATCATATCTCCTGTTTGGTGGAGTTGCACCCCTTAAACAATGCAAGTAACAAGAACATTGCAGTTATTTTTCAAATGCAGTAAAGTTAGTTTTCATTAATTTGCAACCATAAAATAATATATTTAATTATACCATAATGGTTGGAAAAAGATGTTATTTCTGCCATTCTCTGCTTTATAAAATAGGATCTTCTCCTGCTAACACAATGACCCCATTCAGGTATGGAGCCTGAAAGTGTATAGCACTGTAAGCCTGCTGCTGACAGTAAGATCTAGGCAAAATTGATCCCAATATGTTCCTACCCTCCCAGAAACATGTCTTTGTGAACCTTTCACTATGAAGGTCTGCAGAGGGGCTTGTGAACACATTCAGCTGAATGCAGTTGCTGTATTTCCATGGTGCTCTGCTAAGGCAGAGCTCCTGATTATGGAAACACCGTAATAATACTCAGCGGAATATGCTTACAAACACCTCGGCAAACGTTTACAGTGAATGTGCAAAGGCCTGCCTCACTTCTGAGTGGCAAGGCTTATATGCCTATGTCTGCCCACACAACAAGTATAGCTATTGGACACCATTTGACATGTTTGAGATACCCAGTGTGGCATAGTGGATAGAGGGGCAGACTGGAAAGGAATTCTAGGAGACTTGGATTTGAATCTTTGCTGAGCCCTGGAAACACACTGAGAATGTGGACTGGGTAAAAATACTCCTTAAATGCCTCACTTTGAAAGCCCTGTTAGGGTCACTATAAGTCAATTTTAACTTGATAGCATATGACAACAATATGTTTTAGGTTTAACACCTGAACAGCGCTTATGAGAGCATACTCAGAAGTTCTCACTCCTGTCCTCTGAAAATGCCAGCCACAGAGACTGACAAAACATTAGGAAGAAAAACCTCAAGAACATGGCCAGACAGCTCGAAAAACCTACAACAACCATAACACAAAATGATTTTTAGAAATCCATGTAGTATATTCTTCCTTATCTGAAAAGTGAAACTTCCCAGTGTCTTTCTTTAATTAACTTAGTTAACTTGCATCAGAAGGGCTCAAAATGCAAAACTGGAGAGTTGAAACACATGATGTGTTTCTTAGGTTATGGACCTGCCTGCCCCCTTGATTCTCCAGACGAGTGTTCTTCAACAGATATACTCTAGCTGGTCAACCTATATACATGGTTTGAATTTGGACACTGACACCTCTAATACAGCACACATATTTGTGGACTGGTATCCACAGACTAGATAATGTGATTATTTTTTTTGTTTTGTTGTTGTTGTTGTTGTTTTACAGTTGTGGTCTGCCTTTTTTGTTTTGTTTTGTTTTGTTTTTACAGTTGTGGTCTGTAAAATGTTGAAAGATATTTGTTTCTCATAGCATGGGATTCCCCACACACCTACCTATCTTGCATTTAGCTTTCTCTCTTCTGCATTATCTGATTGGTTACTGGATGATAAACACAGGCTTAATTTGAAAAAAATGATTGCTTAGGCAAGTGATTGATTAGGCAAATTCCCAAAATGCTATCTTGGGAAAGAAAAACAGGTTCTTGCAGGAAATATGCATTCTCGTTTAATATCACATTAAGGTTTAAATATGATCACGCAGTGCTATTCTCTACTGACAGGCACTAAAAAGTAGAGTGTAATCCCATTCCCTCCAGTGTTTGAAACAGTAACGTAAGGCCAAACATGGATCTTTGATTTTGTGGGGGGATGAAGGAAAGAAGAGATTAAAAAAGAAGCAGCAAAAATCAAAATCACTCCCAGCTCTGTCAGGAACAATACCACGGCCAAAGATGGATTGCCATTAACACCCTTATATTCCCAGTATCTTTTCAGTGCATGCTGATGGGGAAAGAGGTGTTCTGACCTTTATCATTGATTGTGAGTTCTGAATTAAATTAATGACTGTGAGGAGTTTAATAATATGGTCTTGTGTATGTGGGGTTAATTAAAAAGAGGTTAACATTCAAAGACACAATAGAAGAAACAAAGGAGAAATTGATCTGATTTCAGTCAGTGGGGAAATCATTTCACAGATTTTTTTCCACAGAAGTACGGAGAACTTCTTTAAATAGCCTGCCTTTCAAAGCTTCTGTCCAAACAAGCAAAAGTGTATTTTCCCATGTTGATTCAAGCTATTTTGAATAAGCATTTCAGTTAACACAGTCTTGCAAGAATGAGCAGCTGATGTTAAATTTGTATGTTAAATAACTCTGCAGATGCTGTGGACACTCATGATTTACAAAGAGACAAACAGCCCTGTCTGCTTCTAAGAGGTAACTACAGTTTAAATTTAATACATTTTACAGCAATGATCATGAAAACTATATTGCAAAATTGTTCTGGCTGGTTAGTTATAAATAGCATTTAAGAGCTTTGTATGGTAGGTTTGGCCAAATTACTATCCAAGACAATGTGTTTAGTGTGCTTTAGCACTGTGGTAGTATCAGCACTGAAACAGGATACAGTCCTTGATAAAATATTGTTGTAAGTGGTTGTATCAGGTGACCGATGTGAATGTTGAAGACCAGGCAGTGTTGATGATGCAGATTCACAAAGTATCTACTATACATAGTTGCAGTAGTTTGAGACAAGTGCAAAAGGGCAAATACTAATTCAAATTAAAAATATTTGCTGTGTTTTAAAGTGGAAAAGCAAAGTGTTCTACTTATGTATCACCCCGTAGTGCATAAAGCACTCTCTGGGCGGTTTGCTATTAAATTATGCAGGTTACACATCCTGCCCCCTCCTCCACCAGCAAGCTGGGTACTCAATTTACCCACCTCAGAAGGATGGAAGGCTGAGTGAACCTTGAGCCAGCTACCTGAGATTGAACCCAGGTCATGAGCAGAAAGTTTGCTGCTGCAGTGCTGCAGATAAACCATGGTGCTCTGAGGCTCCCCTACTTTTTTAAAGCGAAGCCATGGAAGACATACTCTTTCTGGAATAAGAGGAAGAAGCAAAAGTGAATGTAAAGAGAAAAATAAGGAATTCCTTCCCATTTGTTATATCATTCACTACATTATTTGCAGCACACACCATTTTAATCACTCTTTTAAAAAAAGAAGTACAGTAGGACCACCTTATCCACTGATTCACTTAGCCACAGTCTGAAAATAATAAAAATATTTTTTAAAAATCCAGAAAAAACCTATTTTCAAATGTATTACCAGAACAGAACACTAGGAGGAGCCAGAGATCATGAATCTTGTTACCGAAGAATAACATATTTTTCTGTGTATAAGATACCCCCATGTATAAGACTTTTCTAACCCAAAATTTCTTTCTTTGCAAGAAAGTGGAAGGGGAAGGCAGGGATCAAAGCACTTTGATTCCTGCTTCCCCTCTCCACTTTCTTGGAAAGAAAGTGTGATTCCTGCTTCCCCCCTCCACTTTCTTAGAAAGAAAGTTCTTGCTTCCTCCACTTCCTTTGCAAAAAGTAGAGGGCGGAAGCACTTTCCTCGCAAGAAGGTGAAGGGGGAAGTGCTTTCCCCCTCCACGTTCTCTACAAAAAGCTGCTTCCCCCCTCCACGTTTTGCATTAAAGCTGCTTTCCCCCTCCACGTTTTGCAAGGGGGAAAGCAGCTTTTTCAAAGAAAGTGGAGGGGGAAAGTAGTTTTTTGCAAAGAAAGTGGAGGAGGAAAGCATTTCCTCTTAAGAAAGTGGAGGGGGGGAAGAAGGAATCACTTTTTCCCTCCACGTTCTTGCAAGGAAAGTGCTTTTCCCCGCCACTTTCTTTGCAAAAAGTGAAGGGGGACCCTCCTTACTACTGTGTATAAAACGACCCTCAATTTTAGGAAAAACATTTTAGGAAATATTTTATATTTTTATACACAGAAAATTATATTTGTGTACATGTTTTATGCACAGAAAAATAGGGTACATAGTGTTGTCTCTGGTGCATTCTAGTGGCAAGCTCTGCTAATGCATGTGAAAATATTTTTTTCCTGGTTTTTTCCCCTTTTACCATGCGCTCTCTCTATATATATATGTGGGCAGTACATAGTGGAAATAGTTGTGATGTGGTCTACTCTGGTTTTCCCCTTTTACCATGCTCTCTCTCTCTATATATGTGGGCAGTACATAGTGAAATTAGTTGTCATGTGGTCTACTCTGATGACATCCTTGTCAGGAGTGTAATATGGGCATTCAAAGAGGATGCAAGATAGCAGAATTTATTAAAGGAATAGTACAATGGTATCACTGTAGATTCTCATTAGCTCTCTCTACAACTTAACAAGCAAAGTGCACAGAATCACTAAATATGAGAGAAGGATCAGCTCAGATGTATGATACTGGACAGCTGCAGACAGTGCTTGGAGCATTGGGGGCTTTTTAGATTATTATCGACAGGATCTGGGTGATTCTGTAAGCCGAAAGTATGTTTTCAAAGCTCAGTATGATTTCATATGTGCAGGTAGTGAACAACCAGGCATCAGGGTGATTAAAGAATGGTTGTGGGCTTTTGAGGATGGCATGGAATGGCTACCATGGAAATACCTGTTCTTTGCACCCAAGGGACTGTCTAGGCATGGAAGTGGCTACAGCATTCCAAATCAAATGGAGAGGAAGAACAGACTGATTTTCCTTTGTGGAAAAGGGGAAGACTCTGTCTACTATTGAGAGAATATTTATTTGAATTTTTATCCTGCCCATTTAGTGACTAGATGTGAGGGTTCATCTTTTGATTCCTTTTTCCTTCCAAATAAATCATGAGAGTTGTTTAACTTTGAAACAGGAGTACGGTTTATTGTGGGATTTAACAGGTAACCAGTGTCAACAAAATTGTCCCATAACTTTTCTCTTATAGACAATGGGATGGCTAGGGGGTTCCATCCTTCAGTTAAAAACGGGTTTCCTTCTGCCGTGTTCCAAGGACCCGGCCAATCAGTCATCACACCCAACTTCACCGCCTGTCTGACCTCTCCCTCCAGTAGAGGTATGGTGTCGTCATCTTGGACTTCACTCCACCCGGCATGTCCTGTCAATACATGAGTTGCCCAGGGTCCTCCTGTATTCTCTCCTCCTCATCTCGTTCACTCTCCATTCTAATCTTTCTCTCTTCTCTCTCTCCACTCTCTCCTTTTCCTCTCTCAACTTCCTCCGCCACTCCCTGGCTTCATCTTCCCCCCAGTAAGGGGGTCTTGGGGGTATATCTCTCCTCCTTCTATAATCCACTTCTTCCTTTGGTACTCTTAGCCTTTCCCAAACTCTGGTCTGTGGATGCTCCATCCAGACCCACTTCCAGCCTGGAGGCAACTGCCCTTCTTTCCTTTTTATCTCTGCTGTCTTCGCCTCTATCTCCACCCTTTTTCTCTGTTCTGTTTCTGCCAATTTCTCCCGAGTTCCCTCGACCATTAACCCTCAAATCTCTTCTTCCAATTCCCAAGTGTCTGCCCCCCCCCCGTTGCTCTGTCCTCTTAAGAGGTGAAGTGGGTAGAGTCTGTATGTCTCTTTCAACAGTGTGTGGGAGGGACAGCACTCCATCGAGAGAGCTGCTACTCTCATGCCCTGTCTCGCACTAGGCCACTAAATATGTTGCCTGTATCATGTGACATTAGAAGGCCATGCAAAACATAGTGCGGATGAGTTGAGAGTTAATATTTGTAGGAAGCATAATTAATCTCTTATGGGCATGTGATCCGAGTTGGTTCAAGGTTGTTGGAAGGCTGATTAGAGGCTTAGCATTTTTACATCTGAAAACACAGTAAAATATTTCAGGTACGATTCACAAGCTGGTGTCTGCCCATCGTCTGGAAACTTGTGAGCCCCTCTGAAATGTTTTCTCAGTAACAGTGAAGGAGAGAACACCGAGGCTTGCATGATATTCTCCAGCACTTTAGTTTTCTTCCACCTGTTTTCTGAGATGTATTCAAAAGCCTCATGAAATGAATTGGTTTCCATTGATGGGTTTTGCTACAATGTGACCCACTGCCTGAAATTACAAGGACAGTGAAGGCCATTCTTCTTTTAACTTCCACCTACTGGAGGAACAATTTGGAGAGTGCTGGCTCCAAGTGTGTGCTTCTGATACAAATTAAGGTAAGTTGGAGTGTTTCACTGGCAAAGGTCGGTTTCTTTTAAGTCTAGCGTGGCAGGTACTTTACAGGCATTTGATGCAATACTTGCAAGGACTAAAGGACACCAAGTCAGAACTCAGATAATTAAGCCTTCAAGGACCTAGAGCAGATTTCCTTCCTTTTCTCAGGTGGGAAGGCGGTACCTGCCTTGCATCTCCAAGAAATTCAAGCTGTAATAGGATCTATATTTTATATTGATTGCCATACTTCTACAAATAAGGATTGTTAAGAGATATAATAAAGACTCTATTTTGTCTGTTTTGTACTTTGCAGAAAGGGTGAAGACAAGTAGTTAACCAACATAATATTCCACCAACTGTTTCATGTTATATTAATTATAGTTAATTGTTCTAATTATATTGTGAAGCACAGACTAAGATGTAAGCCTTTGCTCCCCCTCTTTTCTACTGAATTGGTGCTATTGCTTCACTGTCTTAAATAAGACCTATTCAGTCAGGTTTTTGGCCTGGGTTTGGTGCCCATGCAGCCTATGGTCACCCTCTGTTGTGCGAAAGACTATGGTGTGGATTCTCTGGATCTCTCCATTGCTTTTGATACAATTGACTGCAATTTTCCCTTAATGGCTCTTAAAATTTGATGTAGTTAAGACTGATTGCTCCATTCATATTTGCCTACACATCTCTTGAAGGTGGTGCTGGGAGGTTTCTGATTATGACAGAGCTTGGCAGAGTTCCAGCCGTTAAAGATCTATTCAACATTCACATGTTGTTAGTCAACCTGTACATAAACATACGGAGTGAGGCCTGTTTTCAGAAGTTTTGGAGGGCATTTTTCGTCAGTCTACTGGATGCCATGCAACTCATTCTCTTCAGAGTGAAGTGATACTGAGGGTTCAGTAGGCTAGTGCCTGGCTTCAGCAGTGAACTAGATGTGGGTAGTTATACAGGTGCTCAGAAACAACAAGGGACCTGTTGGTGGGTGGGCCCTTGATCCAGATGAGTGGAATTAAACCTGCTTCAGGATGCCATACAGTCCCTCTGAAGATTTAAAGCTTGGGACTATTTTTAGAGCCATCACTGTCATTAGAAGCTCCGTTGATGTATCTGGTACAGCTTAATCTTTTACTGGCTTTGGCTGGTATCCTAGCTATGATCCTCCGTAGACGGATATTACGCTTGGCATGATAAATGCTCTGGTAACCTCTCATTTGGACTACTGGACCACACTGTGGAGCTA